CGCTAGTGCCACAAAGCATGCGACTAAACCAGCACGAGAGAGACGCACGAGAGCGGGCTACACAGAGCTGTACGTAGACCCATAGTGCCACCCATTCTCTCGGTCAAGCTCACACGGACCCCCTTTCATAGTCGTCGATTTCCTATCCTGCAGAAATGTTATAGCACTTCTGCAGAGTACGGAAGGCGAACTTGCTGCACGGGAGCAGGAAGCTGTTTGCACCTTGATCATCGAGGCACACAACTACGGCTTCCAAGATCTAACAGTAAGAACCCTTGATATAACTCATTGGATTATCCTCATCATGGTATTTCCCTACAGTACGATGAGCTCATTTCGAAGATCCTGCGTGATGGGGGGCGGGCTGCAGAGCAGGACACAGTCATCGCGGATGCTCTGAGCATATTCCGCGAACAGCGCGATCTCCGCCGCACATCGGCGACACACAGGGAGAAACGAACCTGGGTGGGTTTTTTTTAAGTCAATACTTATCAGATCACGCCGGTAATGATACTTCTTCGTAGGCTTTAAAGGTCGGATTATTTGTTCCTCACGACCAGCGACCTCCCTTCCATCAATGGCTCGATCGTACCAAGATCAAGACCATCGTGCGATCCCCATCCAAGATAGGTCTTCCAGCCCGTCGCACTGTGCTATATGACTACGAGCCCTCACCCCCGCCTGGCTCAGAGGTTTTATATGCTGTGATCGACGAGGCACACGGCTTCTATGTTGTCACAGAAGAAGAGTCGGTCTGCTTCTGTGATTACACTATGAAGGGTAAGCTCCCTCCCTCATACTGCCAGTCTCCTCAATTCGACTATATATGCCCATCTACCTTGCGGTCTAGATGGCGAGCCTGTTCTCTATCCCCTGTTGATAATTGTGCGCAATGTTGGCCGTCTAACTGCAGCAAATAATGTACCGGCTCTTCAATTCTTTGCGTTCATGGACGCTGTCATCGAGACTGCCTGCAACGGTGAGCGCCGTGGAGTCCGAGTGAGTCCTTCATTATTATTATCTCTATTTTCCTCTCATAATGTGATACTGATAACTTCACAAGCCTACAGAGCCGGGCTTAATGGCACAGCTTGGGTACAACGCAGGCCCTCGCCACGCACGAGTCTGGGGGTTGGCCAAAAGTTTCAGTAAGAAGCTTCCCGAAGATCTCATGCAGCAGCGCGATCGTGATGCAGTTGCTATGCTGTCGATGGTTTGGGGGATACTTCGCACACATATGCCCAGCGAGGGTGTCGATGCGATGGAGGATTTATTGGAGGCGACAGGTATGCCCCGCATGGCTACCCGAAATTTGGAAGAAGGTGAGCATCTTCAGGTCATCTGATATTTCAATTGTTTATACATGAGCAGGGGATGGATATGAGTTCATGATCGATGGACAGAGGTTCTCCTTTCCTCTCGCTCCGCGTGCCCCTCCTGAGGGTTATCTTATACAGGCATACTCGGCGTAAGTGTGCTCTTGTTCTCGTTTGTATGCTTCTGACATTTTCCTCTAGACGTTCCCACTATGACGGCATCGATGATGACGTGCCCAATGCATGGTCTCTGCACAGTGCCGTCTGCGACATCGTTCCATCAACGCCCACCATAGTAAATCCCTCCACTGCAGTGGCCCCAGAGCCCACATTCCGTATCTCGACACGTTCTCAGACACGTCGGCTGCAAGAAATGGGGCCGCCTCCGCCTCCGCCCACTCCTTCAGCACCTGTAGCCCCACGTCCTGTGTGCTATGGGGGATCGTTTGTCGACCTTGAGCTTCGTGTAGTTGTCAGGCCCGCACCCGCCACGGGCACCCAGTTCGATCCTCGCAGGATGCATGGCTCGACGAGGCTGGTCAATAGAATCACCCGTGCATGTGCCTTTACATCCTCGACATATATTAGAAAGGCATTCGATGAGGCGATGGAGGGATATGGTGTACAAAGGGCGCAAATGGGAACTGGGGCAGACACCGAGTAACTGCTTTTTCATACTGGAATATGTTGCCGAGTCGTGAGGCTAGTTCAGATGGGGGTGTGCCTTGCAGTAGAGTCTCGCTGTTTGATGCTAGTGAAATGCCAGTGTCGGTTCGATGATAGTTTTTATCTTCAGCTTTTGGATGTCAGTTGAATGCAAACACAGATGTGGCCCGGGTAATGGTTGTGGTGAATGGTACGAAGTGGTGTGACTGTAATATAGTACAAGTTCTGTTTCAAATTAATGTGTGATTGACAATATCGCCACTAAAGCTCCACCTGAACACAGAACAAGGACATGTTGAGCTGCGAAGTATGAATTGATAGCTAGAAAAATCACAGAAGGCACATTGGTGTAAGATATTATAATAATGTGGGCATCAAAGGCTATCGTAATTAGGAGCCACAAAGCGAAACACCATGAGGGTGAGGCTTATGACCGAGGCCTGTCTACGGAACACCCGCTAGAGACAAGGTTAGATGTGTCAGTATTGCAGTATGCAAAAGACTTGGACGAGAATAAAATCGATACTCACCATCGTTATCAAAAGTTCCCAAAAAATCCTCCCAACTGTCGCGTCCAGCCCAAATAAGCACACTCTCCCAAATTTCTTCGCCACAAATTGTTCGAAGATTGTGAAAACAGCCCATTCTACTCTCTACCATCACTGTGAGTGGATCTGCGTGATTTGGGAGCATGAGGCTCTACCCCCTCTTCACGTTCTGCCCTTTTGTGCTCTGCCTGCACCTTCCGTATGTTGTCCCTCTCATGGTCGATACTTTCGTGCAACTATGGAGCCCAGCTACGAACATCTCGGTGGTTTCGCTACAAACCTGCCGAATTTCGCCACCCGCCAGGCCGAAAGTCGCCACAACCAGTAGCGAAATTTTTGAGTGAAAGTCCAAGGGGAGCTGACAAATATAATGAATAACCGGGACCTGGTTAGTTAGTTAGGCCCTCGGGCCTCTTAAAAAATTTTTGGACCCCACCCAGAAAATCGCCGAGAATGGCCAAAATAATACATTGGGCTGGGAGCGATGTAGGTATCATGTGCTGATGCTAAGTGGATTATTATAGAACCATTTTGTGGGCAAAATGTTGATGTCTGGGTCAAAACTAGAGTGAAATAATTAAGAGCTTTGCCGTTGGACAGTCTTACGCAAAGCTCAGACTGGTAAATTGAGTGTGATTGAGCAGCCATGCATCATGGAAATATAGAAGCATAAGGTTTGGGCTCAGAGGCTAGGGCAGGGGAAGATCGACGTCAACGGCGAACATAACCTAGCCTAGGCTAGGGTAGGGGAAGATCGACGTCAACGGCGAACATAACCTAGCCTAATTCAAGTGCAGATTGAATGATAGACTGATTATAAAT